GCATATGCAGGCCATTTTTTCTCTTTTTCACATGTATGTCAGTGACTACATTCTGAAGTGATTGGCTCTATAAATACCTAGTTATCTTTGCTATCAACCTACCTTTGGTCTCTCTCTCTTGATATTTACTTCTTCTAAGGTATTGAATATTTGTGTTTTTTCAGGTTGTATTTTTGTTGTACATTTCCAGGATTAATCTCATTTTACTGCTTGTCCCTGTTCTTAATGTGTTTAGGTCCCATTGTATTTCTGTCTCCTCTTTGTGAACCCAGTCTTTTTAAGAGGCCAAGCTCTCTCAACTGCCGCTTACTACTGCATGTCAGGGAATACTCACCACCTTTATAGGGCCAGATCCTGTGTTTGTAACACTTTCCAGTTCAGTATAATTAGTTGGTTTACTAGTTTGCTGTTAGATGCTCTGTATCTGATGAAAACACAGGCATCCAAGTTCTAATTTAACCACCTTGTAGAGGAGTCTGCTAGAAGCTACATACTAAAGCTCACAACAGGGTAATCAGCATTAACATTTTTTCATTGATATATTAAGTGTAATTACTCTCGTGATAAGAAACTCATATTTGCAATCCTTGGTGCATCTCTGCACAAACAAATTTTCAAGTAAACCTATCTCTGTTTTGAACTGATGTTTGACATCTGGTATAATGTTTGAAGACTGAACGCAAAATGTCAGTTACCAATTCGGATGCTGCTAAAAAGCACAGCTAATTTCACTGAACCCTGAATCTCAAGCTCACTGGGGTAGTCTAATGTATCACAGCATTTTTTGAATACTTCATATGCAATAATTTTCAGTACATAAGTGAAGTCTAGTCTCTTTTTGGTAGACCAAAAGCTGCGTCTGTGTATATAAACAAAAATAAATAATGGCATAGAGAATATGAATAGTGTAGGTAATTGTATAATAGGCACATAAATATACTAAAGTAATGTTAAAAGGATCTCTTGAAGCTTGATGGCCCTTAAATATAACTTTCAAAAAGTTGTTCCATCTTCTGGATACTAAGGATTACAGCAAGTTTTTCCCTATAAAAATGCTCTCTGCTTTGTTTGTTTTTCTTAAAGGACTATATTAACATCTTTCTCACTCTACCTAGTGGGTAGAGGACAGGACTGGGACTCAGGAAAACTGGGTTCTGTTCCAGGCTCTGCCACCGGTCTGGTAGGTGACCTTGGACAAGTCACTGTCCCACTCTGTGCTATCCCTATTTGTAAAATGGGAATAATGGTACTGACCTTTGTAAAGCGCTGGAAGATGTATAACTGAAAAATGCTACATAAGAGCTGGGTATCATAATATAGCTATACTGACTTAAAATACTTTGAAATGATTTTGCTATATAGAATTGCTAACTGAATGAAATAAAAGGGCTTGTAAGTAGACAGACGCAAATTAGTCAGGCTTTTAGTTTTGGACTCTCAAGCAGCCATTGTGTTAAACTCTCTGAACATGGAAACATCAGGCCATTCCATTGCCACTGCTGGAATATTGTTGATACATGGGTACAACATGTACAATCTAAGACAGAAGTCTCCAAACTGTGGGGCGTGCCCCCCTAGAGGGGCACAGAGGAAAATTCTGGGAGGCGCAGCTGAGGACCCAGCCAGTCTCCATACAGGGTGGGGATGGAGTGCCACCCAGCTCTGCTCCTGGCCCTGGCCCCGGCTCCAGCTGCCAGCTCTGTGTCCGGGGCCCCGTTCCTGGCTCCATGGCTGGGGCCCTGGCCCCCAGCCTCAGCTCCACTCCTGGCCCTGGCCCCACCCACAGCTGTGGCCCCAGCCGCTGGCCCCTTACCCCTGTCCGCATTCCCCCTCCCGGAGCCATGGCCCGGCTCCTGGCCCCAGCTTGAGGGGGAGTAAAGAGGGGGGCGTGAGGTAAAAAGTTTGGGGACCACTGAGCTAAGATCATCCTGGAAAGCCTATCAAGCATAGGGTCACAAGGATTCTTCCTAACTTGGGGTAAAAGTGAGAAATACCCCTTATGTAGGATCAACAGAATGGTAGGCCCTGTTCAGACATAATCCAGGGAGCCTTACTTCACTTAAGACAACATATAGGCAAACAAATAGGATGTAAAACGCAACAAGATTGAGGCAGTATGCTTGAACACCCATACGTGTGTCTACAGCTGTATCTATTTTGCAAGCTTAAGGGATGGATCCCACAATGAGCTCCAGGAAAGCAGATGACTGATCTCAGATGGGAATCCATTGAAGTGAGTGGGGCTTTGTGAAGGCTCAAGAATCTACTCCAGGGGTCGGCAACCTTTCAGAAGTGGTGTGCCGAGTCTTCATTTATTCACTCTAATTTCAGGTTTCGCGTGCCAGTCATACATTTTAACATTTTTAGAAGGTCTCTTTCTATAAGTCTATAATATATAACTAAACTATTGTTGTATGTAAAGTAAATAAGGTTTTTAAAATGTTTAAGAAGCTTCATTTAAAATTAAATTAAAATGCAGAGCCCCCTGGACCAGTGGCCAGGACCCAGGCAGTGTGAGTGCCACTGAAAATCAGCTCGCGTGCCGCCTTCGGCATGCGTGCCATAGGTTGCCTACCCCTGATCTACTCAAACAGATCCAGATGCAGGAACAGGGTTGGGTGATTGTGAGTTTGGAGGAAGGTTTGTAAGAATCTTGTATATTATGTAAAGAATCTTGAAGTATCTTTGTAGGATAAGGCCACACTTTGAAAGTTACAGAGGGTCCTGTGGCACCTTTGAGACTAACAGAAGTATCGGGAGCATAAGCTTTCGTGGGTAAGAACCTCACTTCTTCAGATGCAAGACTTGAATCTGAAGAAGTG